GCTAAACTTACTAGCGGTGTGTATCACTAAAACATGTCCCACTGAAAAACAACAACAAACTCCGTCGGGAGGAATATGTGCATCACTAAAATATGCCCTACTGGAAAAACTATAAACTGCGCAGAGTAGAACATTAACTTTAGCTCCATAACTTCTAAATTCTAAATATATAAAAATTTAGAGCATGCACCACAAACTGCAGGCAACTGGAATGTTCTATGTTAAAACGTGTTATGTATTAGATATTTTTGTTTATTTTATGTAATGTCCATTTGGAATAGCGTTGTGTAAATACTTTGGTTTGGGAAACAGGTTTGGAAACTCTGATGTCCGAGTTTTCCACGTGTCCTTAAATGCACCGTGCATTCGTGGATCGTGGACTTTTGAGAGTGCGGAAAAACACTCTCAAAAATCCGTGTGTGCGCGAAAGGTGATTCGTGTGTTAGACGAGCCACGCATGCGTAGGTAATAATGTGTACGTACTTTCTAAAGAACTGCACACAAAAAAATCGATTTTAAGCATTTGTAAAATGTGTTTTATGTGCAGTTTGTACAGCATGCATTTGTGAACAGCATGACACACACACACACAAATCGCTTGTTACAGACAAAACGTTAAACACGCATTTGTAACATTTTTGATAGTGTCTTATCTCCATTATTTCTTCATACCGCTGAGTTCCTCTTCCTGTAAATGGGAACTCGTCCTTCTCTTAGTGTTTCGTGCAGACCACTGGCGACGTAGCAGCTGCATACGGAGCATCATGTTAATGTAGCCGCCGGGGCTTCGTTTGTCGCCTGTCCCCAGGTTCACATTTCCAGAAGTGAGGAGCTCTCATGTGGTCGCCTTCTCTCTTCCTCCGCTCCTGATCCATGCTGCCTGGGGCCACAGGAGCAAATCAAAGACAAGATCTCACATCCATCGGTGTTTTACGTTGACATGGAGATGATCGCATTGTTGGTTCTGATCATGAAGACAGGTAAGGAGAGATTATTTTTCCATTTAAGTTTCGAAACAAAGTGCAAAATTGTTTAAAAATAAATTTGGTCGCTTTTTTCCTTGTTCCTTTCGCTACTACTAGTTTTTACATATCAGTGGTATTTCCTTCTATTTATTCTGTTGATCACATTTATTCACCTTGCACGCTTTCTAGTGTATCCTCAACAGTGAAGAATGAAAACCAGAGAGGGTCGACACACTCACTTGTTGGGTTATCCACATAACAAAGATGTCAAAACCTAAATGAGACACTAGCAAGGGCATTATTTTATTCTCATGAGGCTGACACCACCTGTTTGATATAGAGTCACTAAACTCTCCCTCCAATCACTATAAATTTTAAACGCTTGACTTGCACACAAACGAAGAAACAAACAGTTATCAGCTCATCCAGATGTTTAGCATTAGATTCCAAGACTCGGGAGTCTTTGAAGTCTCTCTCCTTACTTTAAACTGAACCTAACCTTCACCTCTGCTACTGCCTCTTATCTAACGATTATCCATCCGCGATGCTCTCAGCTAAACTTAATAGGCAACGCCAAGTTGTTGTAGTCTTTTTTGCCCTGAGTATTGGCTTCCAGGCTGAATGTTGTTTGAGCTAACATGAAAACGTCCAGGGAGGGAAATTCTTTTCCTGCTTTGATTGTGTGTAATGCTTCACTAAAATCACACTAGACCTGAACCCATATCAGAGCTAAGGCAGTAAAGTGAAGTAAAGCGCTTTATAAAACCCTGTGGATGCTTCACCAAAGGACATTATTATTAGTATTATTTGAGGAACCCAAAGTCCCCCATCACAGTTCCTTTGTAAGTCACAAGTTCCCATATTAAATGTAGATCATTTTGCTTCCTTTTCCCTCTACTGTACAGATTACATGGCATGTTTCATCTTCTTTGCAGGGACCACTGTGTCTGGTTGGTCGGTCACTTTTGAAAACCCAAATCCTTGTGCTTTAAAAGGATCATCGGTGGAGTTCAGTTGTTCGTATAACTACAGTAATGGGGAAATTGTTAGTAAGACTGCATGGTCCAAAGGGCAAATGAAAAGTGGTATCTGGATACGTGTTGCGCTCTCTGACCTTCCTTTATATCAGAATCGTTCTGAATATCTTGGTGACCAGCAGCATGACTGTAGCCTTGCAATCCATGACCTGCAGGTTGAGGACACTGGACATTATTACTTCTGGTTTGATACCAACATGTATGGAAGGCGTAGTAAAACATCCCTGCATCTGTATGTCACAGGTAAAATTAGTCTAAATTGAGTGTTACTCCTCAAGTGTAGTATTTTCAGCTTTTCCTAATATCATGTTTACTCACCTGGTCGACGTACAGAGCTGAGTGCCAGAGTGTACCCAAAGACAGTGAGAGCAGGGGACAACGTGACTCTTGAATGTGGTGTAAGCTGCCAACTTTTCACCACAGTCTGGTTCAAAGATGGACGTCCAGTAGCCAAACCAGGGTTCCAGGCTCAGGCAGAGGATGCTGGGAATTACCTATGTGCTGTTGAAGGAAATATGGCAATGCAATCAGACCCTGTGGCTCTGGAGGTTCAATGTAAGTACTGTTAAGAAGAAATTGTTGAGACCAGCTCTGAATTTTACAGGCTGCAGCTTTACTTAAAAATGTTTAACTGAATGTTGAAAGAAACACATCTTTTAGCAGAGGTTATAGATAACCTGACAAATATTGTTTTGGCACAGCTATTGTAGTGCATTTACAAACAATTTACTGAAAGTTTTTAAAGTATATATCTTCACTCAGCCTATGGCACATGAGCATACTGTATCTGCAAGAAACTAGGGGTTTCCTGTCTCGGTGTTTTACCATGTATAATTCTGGTGGACAAAGAATGGTGTTGGTCTTTTCACCTAACTCTCGTCAAGAACACAGATGAACCTATTTCTCAAAAAGTCAAATTATGTCTTTAAAATTCTGAATGGATATTATTTCATGTACTGCCTTGCTTTAGGTGTAAGTTGTCAAGATCATCTACAAATAGTTGCTTTTATGCAGATCCTCCATGTAATGTGTCCATTGAGGTGAGCCATCCTGGTCGCCTGGCAGAAGGCAGCAGCGTGAACCTGACCTGCAGCAGTGCAGCTAACCCTGCAGCACACAGCTACATCTGGTACAGGCGTAACATTTCCAGCTCCGGCTCACCGCTGCAGGTCGGTGTAGAACACATGCTGTTTCTTCCCTCTGTGGAGGCGTCCGACACTGGACTCTACCTTTGCCAGGCCATGAACAGTCTGGGAGGGAACAATTCGACTGAGGTGCTGCTGACTGTGGGCGCATCATACTGTGAGTATGCAGAGAGCTGTTGGACGATTGTCATGACATATTTGGGAACGAATGTTTAAATGTTGCAAGCTAGCCTGATTAGAAAGATGTTTATGTAGCTGGGGAATCAACTTCAACTTGAAATGTAACTTTTGTTCATCATATATGCAACTATAAAGTATATTTGGAGTTAGTGCCAAAATTAAATTTTTTGAAAATACAATAACCTGAAATTTAAACAAACATTAACAAAAATACTTTCACTATATTCATAGAATTCTATTTATTTGTTAGAGCAAAATCCAAGATCCTGTTTGTTTTCTCATGCAGTGTTTTTTTTAACTTCTTACCTACCTTACAGTTAATCACTTCATCTTCCTGGTTGGTATTGGAGTCAAAGTTGTTATTGTGGTGTTGCTTGCATTGGTTGTTATCTGGGCTTGGTGAGTTTATAATTTTTTTACCCTTTGAATATGGTCAGTTTTATTATAAATGCCATGAAATGTTGAACAGTTCACTGAACAAACGCTTCTTATTTGGTTGTTAAAGGAGGTGTCGCTCTAATCATTCTGCTGTAGACAAAAAGGTAAGAAGGACCCAGATCTGTTTAAATAAATGAATTACAGTTTGTTACAAAATGTCAAATGTTTTCCTGTTGTTTTACAGGAGCACGACAATGATTATGAAAATGTTACCACTGCCTAAATGGGTCAAAAACCATGGTTACACAGAAGGAATTATGTATATTTACATAAACATAAATGTCTGCTGCCTGGTGATCATCTGAGCTCAACCAGGAAACAGCTGGAGTGGAGCAGAGCATCGAGTTTGCCTGTTTGAAAACTGTGGTTACACCTCTCATGCATTCCTCCTCCTGTCCGTGTCAGTGCTCAGTCCTTCTCATAACTCGCCTGAGACACCAGAGACAGACGGCTAGTCAAGCAGACTGTACCAGGAATCACTAGACATACCAAGATATGCTGCTCCTTTGGGTCTATTTATTATTTTTTAAGAATATGCTTTAACATGCTAACACTCAATTCATGCTTTAAATAATTTTGACAGAATATGGAAAGTACAAAGCATTTTTCATTAATCTTGACATGCTGTAAATGATGGTGTCACTGTACAAAAGACATCACTGATCTCTGATGATATGTGCTGTAAGCTTACAACAGTTTTAAAATTACAAGCATAACGGAATGAGTGGCATTACAATATGAGCACCAAGATACCAAGATAAGGTACAAGATACAAAGAAAAGGTACATGCACCTGCAAAAAGCAGCCCTTGAACTGATGCTCAAATTCTGTATGTGCAACTGTCTCTTTAAATATTAGCAAAATGAAGCACTGTACTTAAAAATGCATTTAGAAATAGATGATACACCAATTTACTCATCTCTTCTCACTCTATGTGGCTAAAAATAAACAAATGAGCTGAACAGTACGATATCCAAATACATTTTGTAAATGGATGTCCTGGTGTCAGAGTCACTGTCCTCCTGGTTTTCATCCTCCTCCACTTCTCTGGGCTCTCTGTCCTCTGGTCAGTATCTGTTGGTTCCTTATCACACTGAAGCGTTTACTCAAAAACACACAAATGAGACTCAGGCTGAAGTGCTAACAGCTTTTAATTAGACTGTATTTTGCATCATCATGTTTCATCTTCATGCTCATTATCATCAGTAACAAGCTTCTGGTTACAGCTGCTTTATACAGTACTCGGTGCACTTTGTGCTCTGTAGTTGAACTCCAGTAGGAGTATCAGAGTTGAAAACAACTCCACACAGCATCTGTGGTCGTCAGATGTAACAGACCATTGAGACTTTATTCAAATTTCCATCTGTTATCATAGGTGTCAACTAACCACAGCACACAAACAAGCAGTTTCAGTATCAAGTAGCAAGAACAGAAGGTTTCACTTTGTTTTACCAGTTATAAATACTTTATTTTTCTTGAAAAATGCTTGGTTTCTGACAGCAGCATTCAGTTTATCCCACTGCACAAACTGCACTGAAAGAAACAAAACAAAGGATCAAACAGCATCTTTCTTTGCTTCAGTTTGGTGATTCTGAAATGAAGCAGTTACTCTCTAAACCCAAGTCAGTTCAGTTCATTTTCATTCAGCTGAGTGCTTTAAAATCCCAGTATTACGGTTCCCAGGGTTGTGTTGCACTTGCACTGATGGACAGTAAAGTCCATCAGATGATCTTCGGGCTCTCACAGCTTGTGTGAACCCAGTTTCAGTGAGGCCACTACAGCGGTGCAGAGAGCTCTGTATGTAAGACTAGGTTTAAAGTCCACTTGTGTTATGGGGCTTGACTTGGCCCCAAGAGGTGTGAGGGTAAACACACAATACCGATAGAGGACACTACAGAAGCAAATCAGGGATGCTGACCTGACCTTAAAATCCAATCTGTGTAATGTTAGTGGTTGCAGGGTGTTGCATGTGGCTTTGCTCTTGCTAAGTCCTTATGGCTCTGTAGAAGTTGTCTCAGTGAGGACATAGGACTGGTGCGGGGACAACTTACATTTCCTGAAAGTACAGACAGAAAAACTCATCAAAACAATTTTTAAATGCATTACTATGTTAATTTGATAAGAATCTTATATTGTCTTGATAGTTTTAAAAAAAATATATAAATGTATTCATGTAAGTAACACAGTGTAGCCCAAACCTAGACAATATTTACACTACTGTGGGTGTCACATCAACCTGTCAGTGAACCATTTGTTTGTTTTGGATGATCTCAGTACTCCAATCTACAGCCAGTGAATGCAGACTGTGGTGGTTTCAGACAGCATCACTTCGGGTTGGGCTACGTGTCACACACGGGATCTTTTTCTACTGTATATGAGGTCTTTTGTGATACTTAACACTGAAGCCTACTGACGACTATTACACTAGATTTTTTTCAAACTGATATACATTTTAATCAGTATTTTTGTATATTTTCCACATATTCAACTGCAGTGCTTGTTTTTATTCCTGATGATGAAATGATGATAGATAGAAATACAACAGGAAGCAAAGGAATACAACCTGGTTGCAAGACAAGCAAAGAACTTACCTTATTATGAGAAAGGCAGCTACGGCTATAACAGCCAGAAGAACACCAATGGTCACTACGATAAGCACCACTCTGCTTCCTGCAGAGTCAGATGGGGTCATTGCTGCAGTGCACAGATAAACAGAGAGAGCTCAGACATTGTTTTATGAGACTATATGCGATGCATGTGTTTTGTTTTGGTATGAATAAGGTTTTTCTCAGATTTATTTGTAACAAAAGTCAAAGTCAAAGTCTAAAGTGAATGTGTCTGTCAGTATGCCCTATCGCTACAGTGTCAGTCAAAGTCAGACATGTTTCCATCATATAAGCACTGCCCTGTGCTCAGTTCAAGGCATCCTATGTTTTCTAATAAGTTTGTTGATGTTTGGATGATTTGGATGGCATTATTCTGCTACTATGTACTGCAGGATTGTAAGTAAAAACAGTAATATGTATGTTCTATGAATGATATGCTCTTCACTCACCTACCTACCTGTGAGTGTTACAGAGTAAGTCTGTGATCCATGTCTGTTGCGTGCTACACAGCAGTGCTGCCCTTGTTCCTTCACGGTGATGTTGGTGCTGCTGAGAGTCAGGCCTCTGCCTGTGGGTGTAGCCAGGGACTGTCTTACTTGGTGAAAGCTTCTGTCTGCTGTAGGTAGACATGCTGCTCCTCTGTACCAGGCGTATGAGTGCACAGGTGGGTTAGCGTCACTGCTGCAGGTAAGAATCACAGTAAGCCCATCCCGTAGCTCTCCAGCAGGAGAGACCGAGACAGTTGTGTTTCGAGGAGAATCTACATGTATACAAGAAGGAGGTCAAAGGTCAGTTCCAGCTGCAGCAGCTTCAAGTCACCGTACTGCTTCTTTTTATCCCATGTATCAAACCCAATTTTGACTCAATCATCAGTATGGGGAAGTTTAATGACGACAGAACAAACTGACATGACTGGACTGACCAAATGAGTGGATGACTGTCAGTTGAAGCTGAAGAGCACATGTTACATTTGTTAATAAATACAGCTGTTGGTCTTGAAGACCTGAAACTTGCATAAACCTAAATGGTAAATATAAAAAAATGTATTTAAAATAGGATTAAAGCTCGCTTACACTGTACATTGATGGCAAGCATCGGCGATTTCCTCACTGTGTCTCCGGTCTGTATCTGACAGTAGTAGCTGCCAGCGTCATTAGATGTAACTTCACTGATGTTCCACACTGGTCCAGTATGTCTTGTGGTGGTGCTTGTGCCCTTGAACCATTTGAAAACAGCTGCTGGACTGGCTGCAGGGCTGCAGCAGGCCAGACGTAAGGCCGTGGCCTCGGTGATGTCGCTGGAGGGACCTGCTGACACTGTGACTGCACTGGGGGAGTCTGGAAAAAAGGTATGATATGTATGTTACTTACTTTATATCTTTAAGTAGACAAAATTCATCACTTGACTGAATACTCGGTAACAATGCGTACCGATATCTGATTCTGTCAGTTCATCCAACTGTTTCACTCTATTTAAAAAAGAGTTGCGTTTCAAGCTTTCCTTGTATGATGGTTCAACAAGCCATCTTCTGCCTAACAGTAAATACAATTTGGATGAGATATTGGCTACACTCTTGTATATTTACTCATTTCTGGATTATTATTGGCTTGTAACGTATGTACAGATTCCACTGTGCTCAGGAAAAATCATGTGTTATCCCAGTTATATTGTCCATTAATTGAAAAGTAGGATCACGCTCAACAGCAAGGAATCACTATATTCTGCGAGAATACATTTTAAAAAATGTATTCCATATTTTTTTATATAGACCTGTGGAAACACTGATTATATCTTGGTTTGACATTAATGCTTTTAAATGGGTTAAATTTGAAAGCCTGCTGTTTGGCTTTACATGGGTTTGAATATGTTGTCACTTTTACCTGTGTTCTAAGAACTCACCTTGTTTCATATGTCATTACTCAAGCAGCTGCACGCTAATTAACTCAAGAGGTTTCATGTGTGCAAAATGTTTAAAGAAGCAGTTGCACTGTGAGACTGTGACACTGATGAAGGCCAAAAGGCCGAAAACATTTTCTTGTAGAATGAAGTGATTTCTTGCTGTTGAGCGTGAACTATAAAATAACTACACAATATTGTAAAAATGGCTCCCCATAATGTCAAAAAGTAGATGAACAGACAAATACCTTGAAGATATGACCCCTGTGGTCTGACTCGTGTTTTTGAAACTGTTGCATAATCCCACCGGCACTGAACCCTTGATCCTAGGAGAGCTGTTGACCATTAAAAGGTCAATTCTGCCTTCTGGCTGATTTCATTCACACAACAAGATGCTGGTTTTAATCATATTTGCAAGTATGCTTCGAAACTACTGTTTGACCCTTTAACCTAACAGTAGGTACTGCACTGGCCAAAGTACAACCTCTATTACTCGAAAATAAATCTCAAGATAATTCATTTCTGTTCTATTGTATTCTACCGTTTTTGGTTGTTTTGTTGTTTTGCAGGTCAACAGCACAGGGTGTTGACAATGACACAGCATGGACACAGAGAAAAGCACAAGAAAAGGACAAGAGTATGACTTCACACAGATGTTTCATCAACTACTTAAGAATATCTTTGTGGTGGAGCAACACTAGTTTTCCTACCCTTCCCTGCACACACAAATCTATCTATCTATCTATCTATCTATCTATCTATAACATTAACACTTGTTATTAGGATGTGTACAAAGCACAAACATTATTAGTTTTATACTTGTTTCTTGTACAATAAAATGGAGCAGCCATGTTTCTGTAGCAGAGAATTTCCTAATAATTCAGTGTGGAAGTGACTGTGACAGACAGAAGGACAAAAATGGTCATGACTTAGAGGAAGGACAAATGAAAAGTCTTTGTGGTTTGTCTGCTGGTGTGTAACAGTGCAAACATTTTGAGACGCCAAGGTTTTTCATTTTTGATTGCAAATTATATAATGGCCTGGTTTGTTTTTGTTGTAAGTTGTCAGAATAATTAATTAATACTTTCTTTTTAACATTTAAAAAGCAAAAACAAATAAAAGAAAGCATTCTATTAGTGAATGTATACAGTGAAGTACAGAGCATTTATTTTTTTAAAAGTCATCCTGGTTTTCTGGCAGTGGGCGGCAGGGTGAATCAGCAGTGCAGCTAAACCCCGTCATCCCTTCTGTCTTCAGCTTTCTTTTTTACTAATAATTTTTAATATCAAATTCAATGTAACTCTCATATTAGTTTTATTTAACAGGCATCTAGTGCAATTTTGATGTCAAATGTTGTGTTTTATTTATAAGTGTTTTATTTCTTGAAAACATAAAAACTTCTGGGAGAGGACTGTTACACTTATCACTGATTAACAATACGATCAAGTTGAACTGGGGTCCAGTGCTATTGCATGATTAATTCTCCATTTCAGTATTTAAGGCACGTTTAGCTTTTGCACGTGTCTTTTAACTGATGTTGCCATTTCATAAATGTTGCTTTATATTTTCATTTTCGTAAGCGCTTTGCAACTCTACAAATGACAGATTACTGATTGATGACTGTGATGGTAATGCATCTGCTGCTGCTGCTGATGGTCTTTATAATCAGCTGCAATAGAGAATACAGTAAACATTCCCACCTGCCACCAGGAGCTGTGTGCCTCTCTGAGCTGGCATCTTCTCTGTTGGGTGGCTGGTGATGAGGTAAAACACATAGGTTCCACTGTCCGACTGTCGCAGGTTAGAAATCCTCAGAGAGCAGTTTTTTGTTCCTGGTTGTCCCAGGTACTGCACCCTGTTTTGGTACGATGGATCTGGGAAGATACCAGCAGTGTGGAACACATACCTGACACAGACAGATGGACAGACAGACTTACTGTAGGCACTTAACCAGAGGAGCAGTGCTATTTGTTGAAGTACCGGTGTGCACCTATGACGCACACATATGCATGGTTAAGTGGTGCTTCCTTGTGAGGGCC